CTGATAGAAAAGGTCGGTGTTGTGTTCAATTATTCGTATAAATCATAAAAATAAGTATAGTAAAACATAATATGTTCAACAATGCAACTAATACTCTGCCTTATAATATGTTTCGATCAGGAAAACACAAAAAGAAGACTAATGGCAGATACAAGTAGTATCATGTCCATCATGCCATGCTTTACTATGGGCTGAGTTTACTGGTGTGAAAAGCAACGTGAGGGATCCTCCAAAAAGAAAAGAAAAACATGTCATGACAACGACCAATCTTGATAAGTAACACCTCTTACAGAGTTTTGAAGCTATTTAACCATAACAGATTATATATGTAGACAACACTAACTCATTTATAATAATTGCAGCGGTCTCTCTGTGATATTGAGTCTGTTCAACTCTCAAGCTATCGCTCTGCACAAGAGACTTGATTCAATGTGTGTTGATCCAAAAGTGATTGTTGCCACAAACCTTAACCCAAGAACTGTTGGAGGTATTGCATCTAAAAATAATTGGTTGTATATAAACAATGGTTGCCTTTTAATAAACTTTTATATAAACTGCATCTGGGTAGGCAGATTGTTCCTCAACGCCACAGCCGGTACACACGTTTACTTTGACAAAGAAACAAGTCATAGTGAAGCGTGTTTTAACAGGTTTGTTCAACGTCTTATACATCTAACATTGTTTTCATATACATAATCCCAATACGAGATGTCATTTATATGTGTATAGGTTGGTCACAAGAGATACCGGCCTCGCATCTTCCGCATCACTCTGAGAGAGATAGCTTTGCTCAAGAAAGATATGCTCAGTCAATTGTGTTTCACAAATGTGCATGAATTCTTCCTGCTTTAAGTATTTTGCTCTTAATACTTTTGGATTTCAACGTACTTTAGACTTATTTCAAATATGCATGGCTTTGCATGTTTACTAATGATTCATACATTTACCTATTCTTACTATGATATCGGTGATTCGAATCCATAGTAAAATAAATTCGGATAACACATTATAAAATAAAATAAATAAGTTAATATACATATACTCAAACTATTTTATAAAAAACCAAACAAAACTTTCTATGTATGGATTTTTCATCATAATATAAATCGTTTTCATTACATATATTAATTTTAAAAACTAATACAGTTTTTTCACGGAAATAATAAATTTTAAATATAATAGAATTTTATTTTTTTACATAAATTAAATTGAAACACTTTACTATATGCACCACCGTATGCAACACTTTAATATTAATATATGCAATGAATTATATAGAAATTTATATATACGGATTTAAAAAATTAACTAGATAAGATAAACAATAATTTTTTGGATAACACCATATAAATTATTTTAAAATATAATTATCAAATCAATGGAATTTTTTTTATTAAGGTTTATAATTAATTATATAGTAACAGTTATAATTATTCTTCATAATTGATAACAACTTGGTATCATAATATATTATATATATAAGACAACTTGGTATAATCACATATATAATTATTTTCAGAGTTAAAGAAGACTTTATACCATATTATAAGATACTAGGGGAATCACAGTATATATAAATAAATATGATGTTATCATGTTATCTATTTTATGGTTTTGAACTTTATGACAAAAGGAATAATTTATAAACCGTATGTGAAATACATCGAGCTGAGTAACAAAATATATTAAATAGATGAAAGACGAAGAATTATAGATAATGTATTATTAAAAAGATTAAGTGAAGGCAATATTCAAAAATAGACATCACAATTCTTGCGTTGTTACTGATTTGTTGAGCGGATATAGTCAACAAATTCTTCCATCCTCTTAAAGTAATAACAATCTTCACATCCACTGTTCATGTCATGATTGTCACAATTAGTTAAGGGCTCCATTGAATCTGTATTTATAGAATATGCGGCCTTCAAAACAACTCTAATTGCTTTTAGTGATGTCTTAACCATATTTAAGCATTGATCAGTTCTAGCTTTATTTGTTTTCCAAAATAATCTATCAAGATATTCTTTTCCCTCAGCAAAATTTTCCCTGCATAACATTTGTATACCATAAATATATATACCGTAATCATAATTTTCATCAGCAGATTGACGAAGATGATTGGGTCCTCTAAGGGATCTGCGGTTCTGGAAGTATTGAAGTGACCCTTCGACATTGTGGGCCTTTGGATTACTGGTGTTCATGCATTCATTTTTTAAATGTTTGTAACAATGTAACATCGTAAGTGGCTCTTCCACACAAAAACTGGAGGTCAAGGTTCTTGAAATAGGTCGTTGGATCTGTATTCGGGGGGGGGGGGGGGTTTCCTTCACAGTTACCAGTACTTCCGTCAGAATTGTAATTGGATTCTGAATTTTCCGAACCCATTTAGTTCTTTTTAATTAGTGGTATTGGAATCTGATAAGTGAATTATGTTAATGAATGTAACCTTATTTAGTCTCAAAGAAATATGTATTAAAAGAAAAACGTATTTGATAAAAAAATTTAAGATTAAAACATACTACCTAACATTAAATTAAGAACAAAATTGACTCCAAACAAAAACCTTCGTAAAAACATTAATATTTATTCATAAATTGGTGGCATGTAACTTCCATAGAAAAAAAATCAAAATAAATACACATTCAAAACTAAATATATTGTTTGCATGTAACTTAAAACAGAACCATATAAATACCTTCATATACACCAGGTATTACTACATCTTATCGATACACCTTTTTCACACAAGCATGGAACCAGACCAAGATTATGCGCTTTCATTTGAATTCACAACCCATCACGCAAATTAAGAAGCATCAAGAACTATCATGATCAATATAAAACGTTGGCATACAAATGAGGACATCATTTCCATACCCATTCAATTTTCAACTAATGATATTGGATCTTTTTCTGATTCGACCTTCACGATCATGCAATATATGCTCACATGTCACGACATCAGCACTTACTCTTCCCTAAAAATCACTGGAAAGACCTCTAGATACGTATACGAAACTGTTACGTCCCGCAATACACATTATATTACATTTAACTGATTTTAATCCTCCTTCAGTTCACAAGATGGCCATACACAAGGCTACATCGGTTCTCTAATCTGCGAGGACAGTGCAGACACCAAAAGATGAATATGAACGGTGCACTATATGTATGGACATAATTATAGAATGCCAAATTATGAATGCATTGCAATGTACTCATATTTATCATCACCAATGCATTACTGATTGGATCAAGATGAACATATGTTGTTCTTTATGCATAGAGACAATCCCATAAATGACATGTTACCGAGCTTGAAGATAATAACATTATGGATTTATATGTTTTCCTTTACTTAAATTTACCATGTTTCCTTATTAATAATATGTCTTCAAGATTATGAAATTCATTTCTTCAATTTATATAATTAAACCTACAGTAAAACCTCTATAAATTAATAATGTTGGGACTTTGAAATTTTATTAATTTATAGAGGTATTAATTTACGAAAGTTTCCTTATTTAGATTTTTTTAATTTTTTTCCATTTTTATTTATCAAATAAAAAAATATATTTGATTTTAGCATATGTACATTATTTAAATTTTAGAAATTTGACATTTATATTGTTTTATTTTTTATGTTTCATAGAATTGTTACATGGTTTTTGATATAATTTAATTAAATATTATCAAAATATATTGAAATGTTTACAAAATAAAAGTATTTTATAGTATATATAAAACCCCTAACTAAATATTATCAAAATTTATTGAATTTTTTTAAAAATAAAAGTATTTTTATAGTAAATATAAAACCAACAATATAATATTAGATTGTACTTATATAAAATTATATATAGTTAGATTATTAATTTATGATTTTAGTGCGACCATATATTTACATGGCAATTTTTAAAATGTTATTATCTTATTATTTTATCGATTTGTGTCATATTTTACACCGGCCCAAATTGGGACCGAGAAATTTTATTAATTTATAGAGATTATTAATTTATCGAGTATTAATTTATAGAGGTTCTACTGTACCTCTTCAACAAACAAGTAAATATTACATATTAACAAAAATTATGGAATTAAATTTTTTTGTAATGCACACGCCTGCCCTCCAATCTCGCGCGGCTCTCCACTAGTATTAATATATAATAAATGCATACAAAAGCATTTATAGAAAGAAATTTTTTGAAATGTCATAGACTTCTGAGTTTCTACAAGCATAAATCTAGTAATAAAGTAAAACGAGACAGAGAACGGAAAGAAAAAAACTAATTATGTAAAGAAGTAAATGCTGTGGCCTGTGGGATACTTAAACATCACTATACACATTTGGAATAACGCATCACGTGATTATAAACAGGCAATTATGAATTTAAATTAATTAAGGTTTGCTAATAATTCGCATAATTAACGTTAAAAAGTTATAACTGAAAAGCATTGATGTAGTTACTTAGTGGCCTTAGCGGTTCCTCAAAAACATTTGTTTTTAAAAACACAAAAAAACTCAAAAATTTAATCAAACGGTCTTTTCAATGGCTTTCTCGAACTAGGAGCCCTGAGAAAATACACTTATCACACGAAGAAGACGGAGAAGATCATCATTTCGCTAGTTACTCACCGTCTTCCTTGTGAGATTTCTCTCATTAAACGCATCCTTTTTGTTGTACCGTTCGTAATTTTTTGTTTAGAGAGTGAAGTTTTATCGAAGTCTCTAGAACATTAGGTTTTAATCAAGTGTATAATCGATTTTTCGCTTTTAATCTATGTTCCGTCATTTACAATCTCCATGTTCCTAATCCTACAAACTGTATTTGTCTGAATCTAACTAAAATCGCTTCAGATTTTGTCTTATTCACCGATTTGTTCTTGCTACTGTTCATTAATAGGAAGATGATGTTTAGTGTTACTAAGATGTTGATTTTGTATGCATCATTGTTACTAAGATGTTGAATTTTGTATTTGTGCAGGAAGATAATCAAAAAATGACATCCCTTTCCGACAAGACAAAAAGGATCTCTGCTGTAAGAGATTTTCCGTATGGATGTGGGACTCGTTCTATTCAGAATCAGAGAAGTGTGAATGATAGTGAGACACGACAGGAATCGATTGATCGTGGTTACCAACATAGGCCTGCTTGTCCTGTTAACGAAGTTGAATCACTTGATGTGATTATGAAGAAAGCTGGCTTCAATGTCTCTGCTAGGAGTAATGCTGAGAGGGGAAGATCTGTTTCATCTTACAGTAAGTTTGGTCCATCTTGTGGAAGCAAAGTTAAGCCTCTAAGTTCAGAGGAAGCTATTAGGCTAAGTGCTTCTCATATTAGAAGAAGACAACTTTCACATTCATCTACAAACACTGAGAGGAAGCTTGTTCTAGCCAAAGCTTTGGAAAAACAAAGAAACTCCCCTGAGAATGGTTATGCAACTGCGTTAAGGTCCAAGACTCAAAGACTTGGACTCAACCCTGTTACTAGACAAAACCAGGTGACCAAAGCTCTTACCCCAAGGGAGAAAGTTCTCAAAGTGTTGCGTCTCTTCAAGCTTGTGTTCAAAGAGCTGGACCGAGACAAAGCAGGGCGGCATTACGAGGCACGAGCCATCCTCATGAGCGAAGGGATGCAAGTGAACGCTCAGAAGATGATTGGACCAGTCCCTGGAATCGAAATTGGAGATGAGTTTCAGTACAAGTCAGAACTCAACTTGATCGGTCTCCATTTCGACATCAGAGGTGGCATTGACTACATAACCAGAGGAGACTTGAAGCTAGCTACGAGCATCATTTCATCGGAAGGTAATGGTTACACGGATAGGTTCAACTCTGATGTGATGATTTACTCAGGCCAGGGAGGTAACTTGACGAGCAAGGATCAGAGAGTGGTCAAAGATCAGAAGCTTGAAACGGGGAATCTGGCTTTGGCTAATAGCATGGTGGAGAAGACTCCGGTGAGAGTGATACGTGGCGTGAAGAGATTGGACCAGAGGGGGAAGTGTTATGTCTATGATGGGTTGTACTTGGTTCAGGAGTATTGGCGAGAGAGGGGACGTGGAGGTAGTGTTGTGTTTAAGTTCAAGCTTTGTAGAGTTCCTGGTCAGCATTCCACTAACTTGAAATATTATTAATGTGAGATGAAACTGGGGGTGTGTGGAAGTAGTAGTATCAGACGGATGCGCTATTGGTTATGGGTATGTGGGGGTAGAGGAAACTTGCTTGCTAAAGCTATAGCTAATCATGACATAGTAGTAGGTTTTGGTATCTTTTGCTTTCTTGTCAGATGTGCTTACGTTACTTTTGTATTGATGCTTCTGTTTCTGTACAAAGTTATTAATAATGCTATCGCAGTGCCAGTTCCTTGCCATCATCAAAATACCATAAAGTGAAAGAAAAACAACTCGGTATATCGAACAGAATATAAAATAATTTAACCAAGCCATCATCAAATCCTACACAGAAAGGGAAGATCATTTCAAGTTGTTATGTATGTAAACACTAAAACAAAACTAACTAAAGTTGCTATGTTTTCAAATTAAATGTGATTATCTATAGAAGGAAACTTAAAAAGATACAGTGTTCTTCCGTCTTGTTTCCAGTTCCCACCACCCCGGACGGTTCAGTCCGGGGTGGCAATGCTCTCCTCGCCGCCTGTCTGTGTCCGGACGGTTCTCCCTTGCTTCTATGTTGGACCTTATGGACGCAATTCAGATTTATCATCTAATTTGGGCCCACCAATCCAGTCTCGACAATTAAAAGTTGGACATTCAAACTATAGTTCAAAGACTGAGAAGAGACTTAAAAAGTCTTTAATTCAGATTTCCTTCACAATGCTTATAAAGGATTAGGCATATCCACTAACTGAATTAGTGAAAGAGTACAATCAAATCACGAAAGAGTCTGTTGGGTCAAAAAATGTACATCCAATACAACTGACAAAGAAGCAAATTTGTGATGCACAAAACAAAGTAGAACAGATCATAATAGATGGAATGACTGAGAGGGATATAGAGAGAGTTAACAGAGTAGAATACCCCCCTAAAATGTTTGACGCCGTAATGGTTCCTGCGGTTACATATGTTGGAGATGGTAGATCATGCGGAGAAGCTGCTGGATAGCTTTTTATGTGGGAGAAGCTAAGGTAAGTTTTAGGATGAAACCGATGATGAGTCCAATAAGTCCAACCAAAGCTGCCAACTTCAAGGATAAACCATTTCCGCTGTTATTTCTTCGTTTCTTCACCATCTCCTGCAATGTCATTTCAAAACGTGTTTGACAATATCCTTTGTAACTAAAGCAATGGCAGTTGATTTGTCAAATGGAAGGAGTACCAATTCATGTTGCAGTTGTTGTGTTTGCTTAACAGCTGCATCTCGCTCTTCCTTCAGCCGCTGTAAAGTCTGGCCATACATATTGTTGATGGTAAAGAAGTTAAGAGGGAGAACTAAAACAAGGGAAGAACTAAATATCTTAAACTATGATGTTCACTGAATGAAGAAAGACTCAGAATTACGGTTTCTGAAGCCTCAAAACAACCAGGGTGGATACTAGAAATTCTTGGTTTGAAATGAAAGTTTGTATTAATACAATTACCACAAAAAGGTACTATTAATGAAGTGTCAGTCTGTGCAAGAGGTCCAAGGTATATTGGTATCAAATACAGATCATCCTACGTACTATAAGGCTTTTGTTACTATCATAATTGGTTAGTACACAAGTTATAATGCTCATAAGAGAATTTGCAGCAAGTCAATACTACATGCAGATTGAATAATATCAGCGTGGATGTGGTTGTTACTCACAGAGATTGTTACAGAGCCATTTCCATCGCCATTAGTTGCTCCAGATTCAGAGGATTTTTGGGCTGTAGAGGAGGAGATATAAGAGACCTTGAGCTTACACTCGGTTAACGTTTTCCCACTGTCCTTTGTAAACTAAAACACATACATGGCAGATTTAGTGCCAATTTATTCTTCCCGAAATGCAAAAAATCATGAGTCTGAATAATTAATAATGCTTACAGTGTCTTGGGGAAGGTCATCAACATCAGTGTGTGGAGGCACAATGGTGCTTTGAAGGAGAAACTTGTCTTTGCACTGCATATCAGGAGGATACTCCCTTTGCGCTTGTAGAGTAACTACCAATTTTTAGAAAGATGTTAACCAGTGTCCCAATGTATAATTAGTAAACTACCAATGAGTGAATGAAGAATCAATCATCAACGTACCTCTAATGATGCAGGAGTCCCATGGCTGAATGACACCAGTGTTTGGTCTTACAAAATACTTTTTTGGAGACGTTGTCTTCACCTGATTACGTGAAGGAAAAAAAAAAAGAAGTGATTTTCAAGACTCATTAGATCAGAAAGGAAAGCAGATGAAGTTTTGAGAGGAGAAGAAAGAAAAACCTTGAAAGCAACATAGTCCTCAGTTTTATTAGCAACTTTAAGATCACAGTAGCTTTGCTTCTCCAGTTCAACTGATACAACGATATATTATTATGAGTATCCAACAGAATCAATTTCAAAAGAGCTGATAAAACTTTCCTTCATCGCCTAAGAGAATCAACGAATCTCTAAGGTAAAACCATGATCTCAAAGATAAGATTGAGAAGCGAATGATTCAAAGAAATTTAGAAATCTCAAGAGAACAAAAGATGGACAAGTATAAAGAGAAACAAACCATTATCATCAATCAACATTTCTAAGAAGAACCGAAAAGTATATTGAAAGATGATCATATATAAGCATGCAAGCAGGATCGAGAGTAAGGGAGGAATGCTTACAAAGGAATTTGAGTTCATCAGGTACAATGGAGATTAGCTGATTCTCGCCAACGCCAGACATTGCTCTCTCTCTCTTACTCTTACCTTTACCTACCACACACGAATCAATCAATCTATACAACGCATCAAAATCGAAAAACCTAATTCAAAACAATTCCAGATTCTATTTATTTTGTACACCAGGAAACAAAAAACAAGTCTGAGGAAGCTTTCTTTTTTTTCTGGTAAAAAAAAAAAAGTCTGAGGAAGTTACAAAAGGGAAAGAGAAAAAATAGAATCCGTTGAGAAGTTAAAAAAGCCAAAAGATACGGATCAAACCTGAAGAAGACAAAAAGTCACGGGTCAAACGTTTGATCAGCGAAGATGAAGCGCTGCTGCTGCTTATTTCTCTCTCTCTCTTCCGAAAATCGCTCTCCACCAAGGTTCGGTTGGTGGCGAGAGAGAGAGGGATAAACGGGGAGAAGCTTCGTGTAGCGGCCACGTGAAGTCGAAGCAAAGTTCCCCCGGCGTCGTCTCCGGTAACTACGGGGAAGAACAGAGAGAGAATGTGACACGTGTATATACAGTTGTGCAATTGAGGAGAAGGAAAATGAGTAAAGCGACAGGCTGGAAATTAGATCAAAGACGTGGCGTGTTTTGATTGGTTTCATTTATTTATATAAGGCTGAATGTTATAATGGGCTTTTAGGTGGTAGGCCATTTTCGTTCCCTCACTATTAATTTTTTAAATTTAATTTTATCTTTTTCTTTTGCCATTAATGATTAGTGTTGGTGGGCACTGGGTAGTAATTAAATATTGGACATAAACGCATTATTATTAACTCGAGATTAGTCTTAATCATGACGATGAAAACAAAGAGTAGTAGTATAGTAGTTAGTAGGGGTGGGCACTTTATCCGATATCCGAACTCGTACCCGAACCGACCCGAAATATCTGAACCGAAATCCGAACCGAAGTAGCAAAATACCCGAACGGGTATTGAGTTAGAAGAGTTTGGATATCCGAACCCGAACGGGTAATATCCGAACCCGAACGGGTATCCGAAGATAACCGAACATATGTATATATACCTATTTATTCCTAGTTTATTTTGTCTCATTTTAGTAAAACTATTTATATTAATGTTATAAATAGTTTAATATCAGATAATATACATATAATTGTAAAAAAAAGTGATTTGTTACTTATTTAAAATACATATTAAGCTTCTTATTTCATACTTTAAACAAATTTGGATCCAAAATTCGAAAATAACAACCAAAATAATGATTTTTATTTTAATAATGTATTTTCAAACTTATTAATTGTCTAACTTATTGAACATTTTAAAAACAATTAAGTTAATAGTTAAATTTTAAATACATAAAACTTAAGTAATAAAGAATTTGAAATTTTTCTTCCAAAATCTAAATATCCGAACCCGACCCGAAATAACCGAACCCGAACTAAAAATATCCGAACCCGACCCGATATGTAAAAATACCCGAACGGGTTCTAAACCCTAATACCGAAATAGCCGAAAACCCGAAATACCCGACCCGAACCCGAACGGGTACCCGAACGCCCACCCCTAGTTAGTCATTAGAGAGAAAGAGACAAGGAAATATACTCAATAGGATTTTCCAGAATATTAATTTCTTTGCTTTACATGAAAAATCATTAGTTCCAATAAGCACTTCAATATAAATCTAACGACTCCACATTCCTACTCAAGATCAAAACATCAACAGGGAGCCTCACAAAGCATTTTGATTTACTTAACTCAAATGTCACTTTAAATTACATGGAGAGAAACAAAATCCAAAAGACAAGCAAATAAACAAACAGTCTTACAAGATAAGGGAAGATACAAGAGTAGCTACCTTCGGAGTTTGAACACAGCACATGACTGGTTTGGTTGCTCATTTAAAAGTGGAGAGACGAGGAAGTTTGTCCCTCAGATAGTAAAGCCTTGCTCTTCTCACTTTCCTGTGACTCACCACTTTTATCTCCTTTATGTTGGGCGAGTATCTGTTCAGATCAAAACACATCACATACATACTCTTAATCCCCACTTCATTGTAGATTCAGGCCAATTTTACTACCAAGTTCATGGAAACTAGTAGTCTGACTCTAGAGTGATTAGGACTAAAGGTTGATGAACTATTCTGTGATTGTTCTTATATTTTCATACTTGAAGTAGCAAATGTTTTCCCACTTTTTTCACATGAAGATAGCTGATGCATTTATGACGATTCAGAATCCAAACTCTACTTATTTTTTCCTATTTAAGGAAGAGCATGATAACCATATCAAGTTTGCTTTCTAGTCCCTACTCCTTAATCACTACCAAATGGTCAAAGACCCGTTAACTCCGATTTATATTACATGTGTAGCAATATACCAGAGCTAGTGTGTGTATTATTAACTAAGAGTGGCAAGGAAAGAAGAGATACTTACATAGGAAAGACGATTTCAACACCAATGCCTGCAATGATTCTCCGGATACGAATAGTAGTGTGGATGCCTGCGTTTTGCCTAGACATCACTATACCTTTGTAGATTGATAACCTACGCCTGTTCTCAGGAACTTCCTGTTCAAAAATCAAACCCCCCACCACCATGTCAAAAATCAAATCGTTGCAGTTTATGCATAAGAATGACTTCAGATAATAATATACCAAAGAACAAAAGAACTAACCAGTTTGATCTCTACAATGTCCCCTGTCCTAATCTCTGGAACCGGTCTTACTTTCTCTGAAACCTCAATTGCTTTCTGGTTCAGTATCTACACAAAAACAAACATATCTCACATGCTTTTATAGAACACACATTTGATAAATTACTGATTATTAACTTATTATTACCCCCATGACATCTCCGAGCTTGGTCCTTGGCTTCCAAGGAGTTTTAACTTCCACCACCTCAGTGGCTTCTCCTGATTCAGCAACATCCTCCGAAACAGCTTCAGTGTCTTCACCTTCAGTGCTGTCTTCTTCGGCTTTAGCGATGAACTCCCTTCTCTTCCTGGAATCAATCGCGAAGCCAAAGTTGGAGACTGAATGGTTTAGAGAAACCCTAGAAAATGGTATCCTCCGAGAGTTCACTGATGGTGTAAATGAAGAAACACATAGATTCTTTGTAGGGATTCTCGGTATCATATGCAGTGCCTGTCTCATCAAAAAAGAAAGAAAGGAAGATCAGCACAAGATAAGTAGATAATTCAAGAGAAAAGAAGAACCTGAGGAAGAAGAAGATGAGAGCTCGTCGCCATGTTTGCAGAGTAACGAAGCCTTATCAGCTTCAGCGTTTTAGCACTCCACAGGCAAATGTTGTAATCTCTTATCCACGCCTGCAATTAGTTTTATGGGCCATTTACTAACTTTACTGGGCCTGTATATTGGCCCATATTTATTTAAAAATGCAGTAGTTACATTTAATGCTCTACTGCTTGTTTATCTCCCAGTTTTTAGAACTTGGGATGGTCCATCACTTACAAATAAAAATATGTTTATTGTAACATATTGTTAACGTTTTTTTATGAATGGGAAGTATTAAAACATATATCAGTTTCATGATTAGGTAACTACTAAATCAGCTATCTATACTATTATTTGCGAAGTGATTTTTCGCAACGGAGGTCTCACGTTAAAAGTTAGAGCGGTTAATATCGATATTACCCTTAATGAATAAATATATATATGAGCCAATAATAAAAACGAATTTAATATTTATTTGATTAGATAAATAATTTAAATTAATAATAATGATAAGAATTATCCATAATCTAAATATATATTTAAAATAAAAAGATAATTCCTATATATATTTTGTTGTTATCCAGAAAATATAATTAATAAAAAAATTTCAAAAACATAAAACACATAAAATACTATTATTTGCGAAGTGATTTTTCGCAACGGAGCTCTCACGTCAAAAGTTAGAGCGGTTAATATCGATATTACCCTTAATGAATAAATATATAAATCAGCCAATAATAAAAACGAATTTAATATTTAGTTGATTAGATAAATAATTTAAATTAATAATAATGATAAGAATTATCCATAATCTAAATATATATTTAAAATAAAAAGATAATTCCTATATATATTGTGTTGTTATCCAGGAAATATATTTAATAAAAAAATTTCAAATACATAAAACACATAAATAAATATTAATTAAGTAAAAACTTTAATTGTATATAATTGAAAATAAATTTTTCAAAAAAATTATAATACGTAATTATTTTCAAATTAAAAGAATATAATAATATAATATAATGATATATATATATATATATATATATATATTTGTGAAGTTATTTTCGCCTCTGGGCTCACACGTTAAATTAAATTTATTTTTATATTTTTATATATAAGTAATCCTTAAACATGAATTTATCATAGTAAAATAATAAATCATTCAAAAACAAAAAAAAACGTGTTTGGCAAAAATAAAATTTAATTGTATTATTATCTAAACAAATATTATTCTGTTTGTAAGATCAATTTTTGAATGTATATTTATCGATTCAATTTTTCAAATTGAAAGATAGATTTCTATATTTTTATTAATTAAGAAGAAAGGAAATAGACTTTAGATTTTTTAAACTTTAAAAGGAATAAGTATATTCTTTTAATTTGTGAATAAATTTATCATGTAAAAAATATTAATGTTTTAGGTTAAATTTTTGGATGCAAATATCATTTATTTTGATGATTTTTAAATAGATTTAAAGATAATTAAGCCCGCATGTGCGGGCAAAACACCTAGTAACTATGTGTTTTGGCTGCACGTACGGACATAATAATTTTACAAATTTGAAATATCAATTAAAATACACTATCAATTAAAATAAAATTAAAATAAATTAATGTTTATATATTTAAAATATTAATAAAAATTTAAAAATAAATTCTTTATATAAAAGTTTTTTATCGTAACATAAATATTTTTATCACGTAACATAAACTAAAAATACTAATGCTTTTGAAATATTTAGTAATAAATTAAATATTCATTTTTACATATGACCAAATTTGTCAACATAATAAATTATCTTTTATTGCATAAAATAAATTTGAAAAACTTAATACATGCATTAATATTATATACAATATATGTAGATATTTATCTTTTATAAATTTAAAACATTAAAAAAATATAATCAAAAATATCTATACTATTATTTGCGAAGTGATTTTTCGCAACGGAGCTCTCACGTTAAAAGTTGGAGTGGTTAATATCGTTTATACCCTTAATGAATAATATATATAAATCAGCCAAAAATAAAAACGAATTTAATATTTATTTGATTATATAAATGATTTAAACTGATAATAATAATAAGAATTATCCATACTCTAAATATATATTTAAAAATAAAAAAGATAATTCCTATATATATTGTGTTGTTATCCGGAAAATATATTTTTAATAAAAAAAACTCAAAATCAGAAAACACATAAATAAATATTCATAAAATAAAAAATTACATTGTATATAATTCAAAAGAGAAAATTGAAAAATTATAAAATGTAATTATTTTAAAAAGAAAATATAATTCCTATATATATTGTGTTATTATCTGTAATTATTTTAAAAACAAAAACAGAAAACACATAAATAAATATTTATAAAATAAAATCTTCAATTGCATATAATTCAAAAGAGAAAATTGAAAAAAATATAATACGTAATTTTTTATTAAAAGAATATAATAATATAATATAATGATAGATATTTGTGAAGTTATTTTTCGCCTCTGAACTCACAT